CCCCCCCCCCCCCCCCCTCCCCCCTTCCCTCCCTTTCAAATTACTAACAATCAATAGGTCTTTCCAGATTATGTAGAAGGGGAGACAACAGGGGAGGGCCCGTGGATAAAAAAGGTGTACATGTACATCGGGCAGCATCAGAAACTTTTCGGGGAGGTGAAGAAGTTGGTTAATGCGTTGGCGGTGGTGAGGAAACGACAGCGGGATGGGGGGAATGGGAATGAGCTGGAGGTGGTGGAGATTGTAAAGTGGAAGTTGGTGTTTAGTGGGCGGCCTGAGCCGGTTACGAGTTCGGGGTTGGAGAGGGAGAGAGTCGAGGGGGGGGGGGAGAATAAAGGGAGGGGTTGATGGTAGAGTGGAGGGGAGAAATGTTGAGGGGGGAGGGGGGTATGAACGTGGTAACTGTCGGTATGTGTGGGCTGAACCTAAACATGGGGCGTCTGAAATGTGCTCTCAAAGAACGAGGAAATGGCGTAAAAGCTTATCTCTCAACAACAACAACTGGTCACTCCGATGGCTGCTGTGAATTACCACCGGCCTGGCCAGCAGGGAGGATAACTATCGCAACCCGCGCACATGTAACTGGGTAGACCACAAAGGGAGGCGAGTTGACGTCAACATCGAAGCAAGCCTGTAGCATAGGGGGCAAACTGGGCTTAGATAGAGTGAATATCATGACCAAATTTTACTTGTTACTATCTCAAACAGCCAAAGGCTTCGTCCTCCCCAACCCCTCCCTCCCATAATAATCCATCGGGTACGCACTACTTCCCCAATCCTCCCTCTCATTCAACGCCACAAGCGCCTCATACGGCGTCAGCAGCGGCCTAGGAAACGCATACCCCCAATCGATACTCAACCGTGGACAAGCAACCTGCACCCAGCACTCCACCTCCCCTTCCCCGCTCATCATCCCCAGCTTCCCAGGAAAAATCTCACTCAGTAACAAATTCACAAACGGAATCCCCATCTTTGTCAGCTTCTCCTCTATCAGAGACAACGTATGCGGGTTCCCCTGCCTCCCCAACGACCCGAGAATCAACCCCCACTTCTTGGCCGTTTTCGCCGTCTTAATCGCTTGCCTCCGCAAACCCTGCATCTCGTCGTGACCGTAGACTTCATGAGTGAGTTTCCTCGAATAAGGGTCGTACCGGTAGGCCGGGATGGAAGGGTTGTGAATCATGATCGACTCGAGGTGAAAGTGCCCGTCACCGAGGTAAAGGATCAGATCTACCGGGTCGGTCGTGTACGTTGACAGGTTGGGGGAGGTGCACCCCAATATCTCCCCCTTTGACAACGGGGCAATCTGAGGGACGATGATGTTGAACCCGGCTTTCTCGAGCGTGGACTTGACCCCGTGGATGGTGGCGTTGAATTGGATTGTGCCTACCAGAGCGATGGTTTTGCCGGGGGAGAAGTTACGCTCCAGCGAGGCGAGGAGGTGGGTCGTGTCGATGGAGATGTCGACAAAGACGTAGAGGGTCTTGATCTTGGTGACGTCTACCGGGATGAGGCAGGAGTGGGCGTAGTGGACTAGGAGGTCGCAGCCCATGGCGCGGGCGGTGTAGTCGTCTATGCAGCAGGCGCCGTACGTGACGTCGCCCATGATGAGAGTTTCGATGCCGGGGCAGAACTGGGTGAGGATGTCGGAGATGGTGGTGGCGAAGAGGAGGAGGCCTTCAGGCATTTGGAGGGCTACTCTTTTGGCCGAGAGGGAGCGGATGCGGTGGATGGTTTTGGGGATTTCAAAGGAGTAGTTTGAAGGGAGGAGGGAGATGGCGGACTTGAGGGCGGGGTCGTTGAGGATTTCGGGGGGGACTTGGTTGAGGAGTCTGGGGGCTCTCCTTGGTTGGGCCACTGAGGGGTGTTAGCATGGTGTGTTGTGAATAAGGGGTGGTGAGAATGTACCTTGGATAGCTCCGCTGTCTTCAATGGATGATGAAGCATTGCTTGAACTGTTCTTTGCGGCGGCCTCGGCGGCGGTCCGTCTGCCGACGAATCGCTTCTTTGGCTGTTTGACTACATTTTGAGGTGGTGGTGGTTGACTGGCCTCGATATCGGCTGCGATGCCCACATCCACAAGGGCTCTGTCTTCCTCCATCGTGAACCTCGCTTTCAGTCTTCAGTCTTTGAGGAGGGGCGATGAGGGCCACTTTTTGATAAGATAAGACAGGAAGTGGAAAACAAAGAAGAAACCCCTGAGCAGATTCTCGCACAAAATAAAGGTGAAGTGAGAGTCTGGATGTTGACTTGAGGTCCTATGTGTTCTCTCGCAGACCTTTGTTATCAGAAATGACTTGTGAGATAGCCTTCATGAAGATGAAGCGCACACATGGCATTCAGATGTAATGGCATGGATCAAAAGATGTTGTCCCTGAAAAGTGAGGTCCCACCCAAAAAGGCCAGGCGGGGCTTGGCACGGTCCATTCACTCTAACCCAGAGGTCCGTGATTCACTTTGGCAGAGTGGGGCGGTGAGGTGCTCCCGCCCAATTAACGTCGGCAGAAAATGTGCCCTAAGAATTCACATCGCTGTGAGCACACAAAATCTTTCTCTTGTTTTCCCGTGTAGACCCGGAGTCCATCGTCAACAAACGTCGTTGCCAGCATCATCGCCAACATGAAGGTGAGCCACCATACCCATTTACGAATTCCTACAATCGATACGCAATTGCTGCCGCCTTCAACTTGCGATTTCGACGACTTTTCCGATCGGTGCTGACGATTTTCCCTCGATAGCTGAACATCTCCTACCCAGCCAACGGCTCTCAGAAGCTCATCGACATTGAAGATGAGCGCAAGCTCCGCCCCTTCCTCGAGTAAGTGGTCGAAGAGAAGGTCCCGACTCAAAAGGAGACAGCTAACTGACTAATTCTCACAGGAAGCGTGTATGTACCATCGAAATACCCGACATCTCTCTCGAATGAACCGAATTGCTGACCGACCGAATTAGATGGGCGCTGAGGTCCCTGCCGATTCCCTTGGCGATGAGTGGAAGGGCTACATCTTCCGCATCACTGGTGGCAACGACAAGCAGGGTTTCCCAATGAAGCAGGGTGTTATCGCCCCTACCCGTGTCCGCCTCCTCCTCTCCGACGGCCACTCCTGCTACCGCCCCCGCCGCACTGGTGAGCGCAAGCGCAAGTCCGTCCGCGGCTGCATCGTCGGTGCCGATCTCTCCGTCCTCGCTGTCGCTATCGTCAAGCAGGGTGAGCAGGAGATCCCCGGTCTCACCGACACCGTTCACCCCAAGCGCCTCGGCCCCAAGCGTGCCACCAAAATCCGCCGCTTCTTCGGCCTCAGCAAGGATGACGATGTATGTGCTACCTTCTCGGTCATATCCGTCATCGCCTACCCTTGAGCTTTGAGGATTAGACATCCCAAATTTCGGGTAGAGTCTGAGTGCTAATATCTGTCGAAACTAGGTTCGCAAGTACGTCATTCGTCGCGAGGTCACCCCCAAGGGTGAGGGCAAGAAGACCTACACCAAGGCTCCCCGCATCCAGCGTCTCGTCACTCCCCAGCGCCTCCAGCACAAGCGTCACCGCATTGCGCTCAAGCGCCGCCAGGCCGAGAAGGTCAAGGATGAGGCCGTACGTATTTCGTACTCTAGGGATGATTTTGCAACATGTACTGACTATCAGCACAGAATGAGTATGCCGCTATCCTTGCCAAGCGTGTCACCGAGGCCAAGGCCGCCAAGGTTGATGCTCGCAAGCGCAGAGCTTCCTCCATGCGCAAGTAAAGATTGAGTGTTGTTTAATGGGTCTCTCGGGTTGCTTTGGGAAAATGGGTACGGCGTGCTGGCTGGCCGGCTCATCTGCGAACGTGTAAATGGCTTTAGGAACGGTCTTCACGAATGTCAGCATGAGTCTCTTTGAGAATCACCTCAACGGCGTTTTTGTTCCACCGGGAAGGCGTGTGGTTGAGCGACGGAAAGAGAAACCATGAATACCCTTTTTGACTTGCTCATATAGACCCATGCAGCCAAAAATTGTGAAACTGTGATACCCTATGTTTTTGGTGATTCTTGTCCCTGGTGATGCAGCAGTCTACTATTGGGAGCTATGATATTTGGACGCTGCTCTGTTTCTGAATGCAGCATGGTTTCAAGAAATAGACGGCTTCTCGAAGGAAAGAAAAACAAGGATATGCGACCCTGCAGATCCATGAGTGCACGTAAGCAGGTTGTATTGGGCATAACCGCGGACTCTCTTGCCTGGCAGATCTCCTGGCTAGGTGTAGTTTCCGAAGGCGCTTTCTGTTGGGACTTTGGCGTCGGGGTGAACCCATTCATGCTGCCTGTGGTAGGTTCAGCCAGCTTATGTCAGGCGTAAGCCAGGTGTGCTCTCCAAGTGCCAGTATGACATGTGGAATTTGTAAGCTTGATGGCCCGGCTTCTTGGAGGCAGACATGTGTGTGTCCCTTTGTTCGACATTTGGTTGTCGAGTAACACTAGCTGGGTGGCTTTGGGGGAATATGATGGAGGGAATTGTAAGTCGACATGTCATCAAGGCATATCTCGAAGCTTTACAATATCACGCCGTGGACAACCAAAACGCTGAAAGATAGACATTACCTGCTCAAGAACAGGCAGCATGTCTCTCGAGATGGTCCATGCCTTGGATGATAATAGAAATGCCTCTTTGACTATCTTCAAAGGCTTGGTGGCTATTTCTTAAGGCTTTGATTCGACATGTCTAGATAATTCTGTCCACGACGTAACATACAACTACCTCTCCACAATCCTACACCACCTTATCCATGTGGCTGGCTGGCTCCATTATCAAAATGGGGGTTTTGGGACGCCCAGCTTGCCCCTCCACGTTTGCTGCTGGCAATGCATTTCCAGGCAGGTCCGCAGCAAAGAGTTTTCTGAGGGGGGCGGGGAAGGAGCAATCATATATATGACAGTGTGATTTATAAGAAATGAAAGATTTCCACCCGTGTAGCTTCAACTGAAGTGCTGCTGATTAGAAGTGCAGTATCGTGTATTGTAATACAGTGTACACTGTACCCAGCCTAGAAAAGCTCCGGACGTAGTGAGGTGGAAACAGAAGCTCCTGCCCCACCACAGAATTAACAGTCACCCGGCGGGCAGCAGTGGACCCGCGGGATCACTCCAAGCAGTACCTGACTGGCAGCTGCCGTCATTGGCTTCGACGCCTTTCACTGGTTGCTTCTGCTCTTTTCGACCTCAAATCCCAAATCCCCAAACCAAGACTTTCTCCCACTTGCAAAGTCACAACCCACTCCCATCAAACTGCGGCACGCCTGCAACTCACGGCGAGGGCAAAAAGACCATCTGCAACATCAGCAACTAGACAAGACACTTGACCGACTCCCCGGATTTCTCAAGGCGACCTGCACTCGTCTTTGGCCGTCCTCGGACCAGGTCTCTAGCATCGAGCAGCTGTCTTCCGCTACTGCCCGTCGAATTGCATCCATCGGCCTTCAGCCATCGGCCGGTCCATCACCCAACCACGACGCTGCTGCCGCGGCACTTTATTTATCACGACCCGACGACACCACACATCGATACCCCGCCACGACACTTGACGACTCCCATCATCGACTCGCCCACATCTTGAAAACATCACCAGCTTCCGCCTCTTCCGCAAGGCTGCGGGCTTCGCGAACAAGGCTGCCGTCCGTTGGTGGGACGTGCGGGTAGTGGAGGGGGAGCGTCGATTTCCTTTTGCCCACGCGGCTTAGCCGCTCCGTCAAGATGGGGAAGATCACCAAAACTATGCAGTCTCGGCACAAGGAGACCTTGGTAAGCTTCAGTCGTGCTAGCTACCCCGCTGGCTGTGCCCCTCAGTCCAGATATGCTAACTTTGTGTGTGTGGTAGTCGCCGTGGCTCGAGAAATATGTCGAGGAGACAACCTCAACACCATTACCACTTCTGCCCAAGAAGCTTGGCGAGTTCCCAAGTAGATGGCCATTCCCGCGCGGAGACTTGTACCACTGGATTCCGCTGCTGAACCGCTTTGACAATATCTTGGAGGCTTTTTGCGCCACCCACGGCTTGAACGAAGGCTTCCAGACAAGGGATTTCACCTGCGAGCTTCTGTTGAACCAGGCGGCGCCGGTAGAGTACTGTGATGACCAGCCATGGAGCAAGGATCGTCTCGGCCAGCTTGGTTTCGGGGAGGATGGAGATTGCCAACTAATCATCGCCATACTCAACTTTTCACAGATGCTCCTCCAGCACTGCGGAAACCGAAGCATATATGGGAGTAGCAGCCGTCTGAACGACTTGTTGAATACCACATCTCTCACTCTTGTTCGTGCCACTCTTGAGGTTTCCCTGGAGCTTGCTCAGCGGTATCATGCGTCTATGAAGCGCGTGACGCAGCCCTCTCGCCAAGTGAGCTCAGCCCTGCTTGCCAATCACTACAACATTGAGTTGGACCGCGTCAACCTGCTGGCTCAACCATTTGTCAAGACACCTGTGGCCCCTGTTGCTCGGTTCACCGATGTTCCACCTACCACCCCAGGCGCCCCCACGAGCAAGGCCAAGGACAAGACGTCAGGCGCCAGCTCCAGGAATGTGGCATCCATGTATGCCAACGATTTGGCTTCATTGGTGGTTCAAGGATCTACTGATGAAAGTCGGTGGAACGGCTGGGGCGACCTCAAGGTCGTCTATTATCCCAAGGCTGAAGGCACAAAGACCCCAGCACCAGAGGCCCAATCGTCAGACCGTGCATCTTCGTCCACCATTCCACCAACTCCCACGCCTCTCCGACGCAGCGCCACCAGCGTCTCACAAACCCCCCGCTCGAACAGACCGTCAGGTCCTGATGACAGTCCCTCCAACAGGCACGGTAACGGGGACGATCATGCCCCCTCGGGGCCCAAGACACTCGAGATCCGTCAGACTGTGCTCAAGTCGACATCTATCTATGATCTCCTCAAGCAGTGCCCTGACGACATGCCCGCAGCTTCGAGATATGAGTTTTTGAACCGTCTAAGAATCGCAAAGGCGCTTCTTGGCTCAACCGAAGACAGACGCCAAGCCCTGGCTGTTCGTCTGCTGGCCATCACGAACCTTGCTTCCATCCACCACGAGCAAACCTTTATCGAAAAGGTCCTGAAGCAGGACAACGATGAGCCTCGGAAATACCAGTTGGTGTACCAGCTTGCCGAGTTGATTCACCCTTCAGTCGACGGTGCAGAGGACACCCCCTTGTGGCTACAGGCCATTGCGCTCGGGACACTGGAGGGCATCGTTGGCATCCAAGCCAAGTATCAAGACATCGTGTCCGCTCTGAATGCGAACGTTAATCACGGCGTTCTCATGTATGTGGTTCGCAAGGCTGTTGCCAGCATGAAGCAGGACGACCCCGACATGGACAACGGCAAGGTCACGGATGCTGACAAGTGGCGTTCGAAACTGTTCGGTCTGGCTCTCCACATGATTGTGTCGCAGCGGATAGGCCCAGAGATGACCTCCAACGGACTGCTGGAGGTGCTGATTGAAATTCTCAAGCTCCGCACCAAAACGGCACAGCTCAACTGGAGCATGGTTGTGGCTTTCCTCGACACGATCGTCTACAACTACACGGTGGCGTTCCCGGCACTCAGCAACGCCTCGGGCCTCGACGCCATTGCCGACCTTATCATCCACGTTGTCCATTCATCCAAAGAGCTGGCAGAAAAGGGACTAGGGACCAAGCCCGAGTTCCACGCGCAGCTGGTCGACTATGGAATTCCCTTCTATCATCAGCAGACGGTGAAGTGGCTGCTTAAGTTCCTCCATCACATTCTGCAGAGCCCGCTCTCGTTCGGTGCCAATACAGACCGCTTGTTGAGAAACCTGGTCGACAACTCCAAGTTGCTGGTCAGTCTCCGTACCGTCATTGAAGAGCCGCGTCTCTATGGCTCTGTGGTTTGGACAAACGCAGTCACGCTCTTGAGCGACTTCCTCAACAATGACCCTACCAGCTTTGCGGCCCTTTCAGAGTCGGGTATGGTACAGAGCTTCTTGAGCACCCTCACAGGTGAGAAGGTTGGCCTTCCTCAACCAGAGGGCTCGCCAAGACCTGAGGAGAACCCCGAGGAAGCAGCATCGCCCGCCTACTCGAACGACTCGCTGCTGCTTGATAGTGCTGATAGCCGTCCGCATCCACCCACAGAAGACATGATGAACGAGTCTCGGGAGCGTCCCCTTGCCCACGGCGTCCTTGCGTCCAACGATGCCATCAATATCATTCCCCAGGTCTTGAACTCTATTTCCCTCAACAATGCCGGTATGAAGATGGTGGTGTCGTCAAGGTCCTTTGATCACTTTCTGGAAATTTTCTTCAGCCCCGAACACGTCCAGATCATGTCGAGGTCTGACCTTGATCTTGCCGCCAACATTGGCTCAAGCTTCGACGAACTTGCCCGTCATCATCCTCGCTTGCGTCCAACGATCTCTAACTCCATCCTCGATCTGACAGCCAAGGTCGTTCATCTCGCCAACGATAAGGCAAAAGGAAAAGGCTTGGGGGCGCGTGGCTGGGGTGCAAACCTCTTGGTTGAAGACTCGGAAAAGAATATCTATGCCGCAGATAAGTCGCTGCTTGCCAAGGCAGGCACGCCGTTCTCATCTGGATCCAAGGAGAAAGGAAAAGATGTGAGCGATGATGCTGATGTCGAGATGGTGGATGCGGCCGGCGAATCTCCAGAGTGGGCTCCAGAGGCGACGAAGCGTTCGGAAGAGGTGCATCACGAAGCCACACCATACATCTGGGCGCTTTGTTCATTCCTGAGCGCTCTGTTTGCTAGCAACACCAACCTCAAACAGGCCTACGTCAAGAACGGGGGTGTCGAACTCTTGCTCAATCTCTCCGAGTCTCCGGCCCTCCCAGAAGGCTTTGATAAGACGACGGCTTCGCGCATGCTCTCGCAAGTGCTTTCACACCTCATAGAGTGCTGCCCGGTTTTAGGGATCCCCTCTCTTCTCAACCGAATCGATGACACAATCGGTGTGCTTCAGCCACTCATGACCAGAGATGATTCGGAACCATTCTTCGCGCCATTCGTGTCAGGAGTCTCACTATCGAACGACAAGGGCGAGTGGGATCCGGAGCTGGTTCGTAAAGTGGCCGGTGGCAATGATATCATCAAGGCCATTGTTCGCTTGCAGAGCTTGGTCAAGACTTCGTACCAGTCCTTCCCATACGCCGCGAGACTGGGCTCGATTGTCATCCCGCCGTGCAATACTTATGATCTGTATGACAAGCTGATCAAGTCACTTGGAGCACTGCTACGCGACGCCGTGACGGAAGACTTGGCCATCAGGACACTGGTTCCGAAGCGCTGGACAGAGAGTCTTACCTCTCCAGACGGTGCTGAGCTATCAGTTGCCAAGCTCACGGTTGCCAACAGTGTCACTGCTTCTGAGACTGCACCTGCTGCTCCGCAGGCCTCTGGCACCGAGGCCTCAGCCCAGCCCTCGGAGCCCACGAAGTTAACCGCAGAGCAACAAGAGGTGCAGCAGTGGTTTCACAAGCAGAATTTCAACACCATCCACGATCTTTTGAGTTCATTGCACCGCAATGTTCTCCCGTTCTTTCAGACGATGAGCAAAGTGTTGTTGCCCAGACGATTCGACAACTTCAGCCGCTCCAATCAGTTGACAATTGCAGAAACCTTGGCCACCACAGTTCTGGAGCAGCTCAGATTTGTCCAAGATAAGCTGGATCAAGACAAGCTGGCTGGACTAGACTTCCATCACTTTGCCACCACGTTCCAGTCCTTGCATGACATGTTGATTGATGTAACTCGGCAGACGGAGCGTCAAGGAACTGCCCTGCTTCTACCCGTCCTTATCGCCTTCAAGGAGAATGGCGGTATTGACCTGTTGAGTAGCATGCTCGAGAAGTTTGCTGATGATATCTGCAGTGTCCCAGCTGACTCGACTGCTCGTGAGGAGTCACCAAAGGTGCGGCAAGCAACGATGGGGATGAAGAGGATCCTGGACATTTACCACATCATTGTTAGCGGCAAGAATGTCACTGAGTCCCTCACCTCCACCAGCCTTCCCAAGGCTGCAGAGCGGAACCGCGAGTTTGGACATCAGCTCGTCGTGGAGTTGAGGGTGGCCATTCTGCCTGTGGTGCGCAAACTGTGGGAGTCTCAACTGGCGGAGAAGGTCGAGACGGTCGTCTTGAGTAAGATGATTGATATACTTCAGACGATTGCCGCTGCCGATTCTGAGTCCAACGCATACCGCAGGTCTGACAAGACAGGTCCGCCCCCAGTGTTTAAGGATCGGAAGCGTGTGTCGTTCAACTGGGAGGGTGAAGCCAATGTCAACGTCAAGAAACTTATCGACAAGGGGAACGACGAGGAGCTCAGCCGGGAGGCCATCTACCGCGCGAACGGAAAGCTCGAGGATGCCATGGAATACTGTAGGGCGTTCGATCCTGCGAACAGCAGCAAGGGATGGGCTTTCAAGCGGAACCCTATCCCAGAAGCGGATGCATACAAGGAGCCGCCTCCGCCTCCGAAGCCAGAGCAAGCACAACCCGACCAAACTCCGGTGGTTTCCCAGCCAGTTGTGCCTTTGGGAGCAGAGCCAATGGCACTGGATCCCATGCCGGGGATCAACAGCCTCATCCATGATGCTATCGGTGAAGCCGATTCGGGAGATCACTCGTCTGATGAGTCCAACGACACCAGCAATGAGAGCTCAAGCCAGCATTCCGCACAGGAGGCCCCTTCTACGACGGCTGCGCCCACACAGCAGGCACCGACCTCGTCATCGGTCGCCGCTGTACCGCCGAATCCCCCTTCGGTTACAAAGGAGGACTTGGACGACGAGCGCGCGCGACTGTCCAATGATCTAATTGACCGGTGCTTAGACGTCATCAGAGCTCATCCTGACTCTGTCTTTGAGATCTCGGACTTGATTCAGAACATGATCCTCAAGACAGACAACGAACAAAAGCGGACCGAGGTCGGCGAAATTCTTGCCAACGCCCTGCTGTCGCTCCATGTGAATGATGAGGCTGACAAGAAGGCCAACGGTGGGACCATTGCGGCCTATTCTCATCTCTTGTCACTGTTGCTGCAGAACAGCTCTTTCTTTAAATCCACGCTGCCGACGTTGAGGCAATACATTGAAGAATATCTCAGTTTTCTCCAAGTTCCTTCGAACTCTAGCGAGGAGCTGCCTCCGTGGATGCCATATGTGCTCCTGGTCTTCGAGACGCTCTTGATTGACGAGGAGCAGCTTCCCGATATCAAGTGGAAGCCGCCTGCCAAAGAGGAGGACCCAGTCGAGGAGCCTGTCTGGGCTACCAAGGTTCCCACAATACCGCTCAAGGAGCGTTCTGGTTTGCTCTCAGCGGTCTTGGAGATCCTCCCGCGCATCGGCAAGGAAGAGGCACTTGCTGTCTCCGTGCTGCGGATTCTTGTCATTCTCACCAGGGACCATGGGATGGCCAAGACGGTGGGCGAGAAGAGAAATCTGCAGCGCCTGTTTGTCATGGCAAAGCAGTTGTGTGCTGGCGGCTCGGGTCCTCTCAACCGGTCACGCATCACGGACTACATCATGACAATCCTCCGTCACATAGTAGAAGACGAAGACATCATCCGCCAAATGATGCAGAATGAGATTCGCCAGTTTCTCTCGTCAAGCTCGAGAAGCGGCCGAAACTACGACGCCCAGACGTTCCTCAAACACCTTTCGCATGTCGCTCTTCGGTCGCCCAAGTTGTTTGTGGAAACCACTGGTCAGCTCGTGAAGCTAGTCAAGTGGTCGGTCCCTGAGGCCAGGGAGTCTTCCTCACGTTCCAACTACCAGATCGTTCTCAAGCCAGCGCCGGCTGCAGAAGAGGAAGCCAAGCCAAAGGACAGTTCAGTCGAGCCCACGGTTCAGGCGACTGAGGATCTGAGCATCAACGATGTGAAGCCGTCGACAGAGTCTGCCGACAAGGAGATGACAGACGCGCCCAAGACTCCGCTCGACATCAAGCGTCCTGTTCTTGAAAACCCAGATGGTGTGGTTCATTTCTTGCTTTGCGAGCTTCTCAATTACCGAGAGGTTGATGACAAGGAGGTCCCGGCTGTGCCAGCCAAGGAAGCCAGCAAGACTGATAACAAGACTGCAGGCGAGACATCAAGTGCGGAGGAAGATGCCACACCGGCTCCCGCAGACGTAGAGGTTCCCGAGCCGAAGAAGGACGAAAAGAAGTCTTCCAAGCCGACCTTCAAGGCAGAGGATCACCCCATTTTCGTCTACCGGTGCTTCCTCCTCAGCTGCCTGACAGAACTTCTACAGAGCTATACGCGTGCCAAGGTGGAATTCATCAACTTCAAGCGTAGTGCGCCGATGCAAACCAACACCCCCATCAAGCCTAGATCGAGCGTACTTAATTATCTGCTCAATGACCTGCTTTCTCCAGGTTCGGCCAGCTTGGCAGCAGAGACGCCGGTGGCTAAGAAGAAGACTTCGACATCTGCTCAGGCACAGAGCGTGCTTGTGGCTCTTGTGGCTCGTACCGGCGAGAAGCCGTATGACCGACACCGTGGCAATTGGGAGTATGATGACGAGCCCGATCTTCTGTTTGTACGCCGATTTGTTCTCGACACGGTTCTTCGTGCTTACAAGGACGCTTCCACTCCTGGGGAGTCCTTCGATGTGCGCTATCCCCGGATGATTGCGCTGGCCGAGTTGATGAGCCACATGATCGGGGAAAAGGACAAAGACGCCAACTCGAGGGGGGCAAGTCAGGATCAGGGACTCACCAGATCTTATGCTCAAATCAAGCGGTTGATGTATGAGAAGGGATACCTTGCCACATTGACAGCATCCATCGCCGACATCGACCTCACCTATCCCGATGTGAAGCGCACCATCAAACATATTCTCCGCGTGCTGCGGTCTTTGACAAAGACTGCATCGGCCCTGAGTGAGCTGGACATAATTCCTGCCACCGCGACGGGTGACCAACCGGAGGACGACTTTGCGTCTGCGTCATCCCTTTCCGACATGGACGACGAGCGCGAGGAAACCCCCGACCTCTACCGCAACTCCACACTCGGCATGCTCGAGCCCGGACGGGAGGATGATTATTACTCGGATGAAGAGGAAGATGGTATATTCTCCAATTCTGCTGCTCAAATAGACGAACTGTTACTAATGGGGGCAGATGACGACGAAATGTACGACGAAGAGGTCTACGAGGATGAGTTGGACTATGGTGACGAGATGTCCCAAGATGAGGAGGATAACCCTAGCGACGAGGACGAAGAGGAGCTTGGCGAAATGGGCGAAATCGAGGGTCTTCCTGGTGACCCTGGCGTTGTCGAAGTCATCATGGGTGAAGACGACGACGAAGATGAGGATATGGACGAGGATGACGAAGACGATAGCGACGAGGATGATGAAGACGAGGTCGGCTCTGAAGACATGGAGGATGTCGAAGACCAAGTCGAGATCATGGACGAGGAAGGAAATCCCATTGGCGACGATGGTGATGATGGTTGGGAGAGTGAGACGGACGAGGAGGATGAAGAGGGTGAGGAAGAACTTGACTATGAGGCAGAAGCCCAGAATCTTCATAACGCCCAAATGATGCAAGAGCTCGCGGAACTGGAGTCTATCACCCGCCGTCGCTTCGAGCTCAGGGGCCTTGCTGCTGCCGGCGATGCCGATGAGCTTGATGGCGAGGACATCCACGAGTTTGACGACGAACACTACATGGACGATGGTGGTCCTGAAGATGACGGTATGAGTTTTGTTCTGGTGACTGAGTCAAGATATGGATTACTAACTGGGTTTTCAGAAGAAGAGGAAGAGGAAGAGGTTGACGACGACATGTATTACGAACAGGGACATCCCCATGATGATTTCCTCCCTGGCAATATTTCCGGTAGTCTCGGATGGGACTTGGCCGTTGAGCCTCACCACCGCGTCCGAGGCGGGTTCAGTCGAAGAAACCCGTTCCCCGCTCCATTTGGGGTTGGAGATCTGCGGCACATGGGATCCTCCGGTAGGCTCTCTGATTTCTTTATTCGTCTGCGGCAACAAGTTGGTGCGACTCTTCAACGCCTCGATGATTTGGAAGCAACTTTGGACAGTGTTGAAATCAGCGTTGATGGGGGCAACGAAGGCTCAGAGGACTTGTCACAGGCTCTCAGGACAGCATCACAACAATTACTTGAGCGCCAACCAGTTGAACACCGTGCTAACGCCATTCCAGACTTTAGAAATTACTTTGGCAATACGAGCCGCGCTCCTCCCGCAGTACTTGACAGTCAGAGGAACCCACTGCTGCTTCCCAGCCATAGATCTGGCCGAGATCAGTCTCCTCGTCACTCCGACCGACAGTCTCTTCCGTGGAGCTCTCTCGGGTTACCCGAATCCTTTAGAGCCATGGCTACTCCTGACGGCCCCCTTGCCGTTATCCACACCCTGGTCCAGAATATGCCCATTCCCCACGGTGCCGGGCCCGCACTTAGCCTTCAGTTGACCTCAGAAGGACCTCATGGCGAAATCCGTCAAGTTAGCATCCCTTTGGATGCAGTTACTGGCAATCGTGTTGGTCGCTGGGAGCCTCGGCGCGATGTGTACCAGGAGCCCGCTCAAGCCGTCCAGTTCGTAGCGGCCCGCACTAATGATCGGTGGAAGGAAGAAGCCGGTATGATCTTTGGTCCTGCTCATCACGACAAGGTGTCCATCCTTATGGTGGGTGTTCTCGGCACCCTTGCGCCAGCCGCTATCCAGCAACTCAAGGAGCAGAAGGCTCGCGACGAGGAAAAGAAGCAGAAGGAGGAGGCAGAACGCAAGAAGCGTGAAGAGGCCCTCAAGGAGTACGAGGCCCAGAAGGCTGAACAGCAAGCGGCCAAGGAGAAGAAGGAGGCCGAGGAAGAAGCAGAGCGCCAGCGCCAGGCCCAAGAACTCGCCGCTGCCGAGACTGCACGAGCAGTAGCCGAAGCTGCAGAGACGAACCGCGAGCAACAAGCCCAAGAAGAGCCCCAAGCTATGGAAGGTGTCGAGTCTAACAACGCCGCCCCCGAAGCTGCCCAGCAACCCGCCGCGGCTCCTACCGAGCGCATCATTACGACCATTCGTAACGGTGAGACGGTGGATGTGACCGACCTGGGAATCGACCCCGACTATCTCGCTGCGCTTCCCGAAGAGTTCAGAGAGGAGGTGATTGCGCAGACATTGACCACTCGACGATCCGAGGCCCGTCAACAAGCTCCTCCCGAGGGTGAAAATAGAGAGGCATTCCAGGAGTTCCTTGAAGCACTGCCCTCGGAGCTCCGGGACGAGATTGTTCAGCAAGAACGTCAAGAGCGCCGGCGCCGCGAGCGTGATGAGGCACGTCGCCAGAACAACAATGATCCTGCCCGACGACTTGCAGAGGCTGCCGAAATGGACGCCGCGAGTATCCTGCTGACGTTCCCTCCAGCCTTGCGCGAGCAAGTCTTGTTGGAACAGGGTGAGGACATAATGGATCAGCTGCCACCCGACTTGGCAGCCCAAGCACGCGCTTTGGCTCAGCAAAGCAGCCAGCAATATCGTGGTCCACCGCCTAATGCTCGCGCCGTGGCCGGAAGACAGGTCCTCGCCGAGCCAGCTGCTGTCAACGACGGTAAGCCCCAGCGCCGCACCATTGTGCAGATGCTTGACAAGGCCGGCGTTGCCACGCTTCTCCGACTCATGTTCATTACCCAGCATGGGTCCATCCGCAACTACTTGTTCGACGTATTCTCGTGTGTCTGCGAGAACCGACAAAACCGTCTGGAGGTTATCTCGACTCTGCTTCAGATTCTTCAGGATGGCAGCACGGATATGGATGCGGTTGAGCGCAGCTTTGGTCAGCTCTCCCTTCGGGCAAAGCAGGCCAAGGAGAAGGATGCCACCAAGACGCCCCAGAGTCTGAAGCGTACCTTCACCAACATCAGCACCCATAATCACCATCTCACCAACAACTCGGAAGTCTCGCCCCTTTTGATCGTACAGCAGTGTCTCGATCTTCTTCAGGATCTTGCTACAAAGAACGCTCACATCCCGTCTCTCTTCCTCACAGAACACGAGACCGTGGCGTCCACACTCAAGCGAAGCCTCAGTCGCAAGGGTAAGGGCAAGGATGTCAACCTAAAGGCTCAGAAGTACGCGATCAACTGTCTCCTGGCTCTTCTTGATCGCAGCTTGGTTATGGAGAGCAGCGCTGTCATGCAGCTCCTCGCCGACTTGTTGAACAAGGTCACATACCCGCTTCAAGCACTCGAGCGGCGACGCAAAGAGGCTGAAGCGGAAGCCAAAAAGAAGGAAGAGGAGGCCAAGAAAAAAGAGGAGGAGAAGGCCAAGGGCGAGACTGCTGAGCCTGCTGTCGAACATGCCAACACGGAGGCTGTCAATATGGCCAATGTTCAAGCTCCTCCTGCTGCGGCTGCGGCTCCATCTGGCGATCAGCTCACCCAGGAAGACGCCCAGAAGGATGCCCAGGATAAGGAGACCAAGGAGACAAAGGAGACCAAGCCAGAGGAGAAGAAGGTGCGCCAGCTGACGCCCCCATATATCCCAGACCACAACTTGAAGCTGGTTGTCAATATCTTTGTGGCCCGCGAATGCAGCTCGAAGACATTCCAAAACACCATCTCAACCATCAAGAACCTTTCCAACATTCCCGGTGCCAAGAAGGTCTTTGGCGAGGAACTCGTGCGCCAGGCTAGAGTTCTTAGCGAGAACATCGTGTCAGACCTCAACGACCTCCTCCCATACATTCTCAAGGCTGAGTCCGGCACTGAGATTCAGGGCGTCGCCCTGGCCAAGTTCTCTCCTGGTGCTTCGGAGCAGAACAAGCTGTTGCGTGTTCTTACTGCCCTGGACCATTTGTTTGACAGCAAGGGTAAGGGCAAGAAGGAAGAGGGCGCATCCGAGGCCGAGGATAGCAAGGAGGGCTCCAAGGAAGACCTCCTTGGTTCCTTGTATTGGAACCCAACCTTTGGTACTATGTGGGACAAGCTGAGCGCCTGCCTGAGCGCCATTCGACAGCGCGAGAACATGCTAAATGTGGCAACGATTTTGCTGCCGCTGATCGAGTCCCTGATGGTTGTTTGCAAGAACACCACTCTTGGTGACGCACCTTCGGTCCAGCACAAGGAGCTGCTCTTGTCCAGCCCGCCCCCTGAGAACCGTATCGCGGGTCTTTTCTTCAGCTTTACTGAAGAGCATCGCCGGATCTTGAACGAACTTGTCCGACACAACCCCAAGCTGATGTCGGGCACCTTCTCGCTCCTGGTCAAGAACCCCAAGGTTCTCGAGTTCGACAACAAGCGCAACTACTTCAACCGTAGCGTGCACTCCAAGACCGGCACCCAGCAGACTCGGCCTCAGTATAACCCTCTTCAGTTGTCAGTTCGCCGTGAGCACGTCTTCCACGACTCTTTCAAGTCTCTGTACTTCAAGACTGGAGACGAAATGAAGTTTGGAAAGCTCAACATTCGCTTCCACGGCGAAGAGGGTGTTGACGCTGGCGGTGTCACTCGCGAGTGGTTCCAAGTGCTCGCCCGCCAAATGTTTGACCCCAACTACGCCCTGTTCATTCCCGTGTCTTCTGACCGCACCACATTCCACCCGAACCAGCTCAGCAGTATCAATGAGGAGCATCTGATGTTCTTCAAGTTTATTGGTCGGATCATTGGCAAGGCCCTTTACGAGGGCAGACTTTTGGACTGCTACTTCAGCCGCGCGGTCTACAAGCGCATTCTCGGCAAGCCCGTGTCCGTCAAGGACATGGAGTCGTTTGATCCAAACTACTACAAGTCTCTTGTCTGGATCCTGGAGAACGACATTACTGATATCATCACCGAGACCTTCTCGGTCGAGGACGATGAGTTTGGTGTGACCAAGACTGTGGACCTCATTCCAGATGGCCGCAACATCCCTGTCACTGAGGAAAACAAGAGCGAATACGTCCGCTTGATTGTGGAGCACAAGCTGCTTACGTCGGTTAAGGACCAGATGGAGCATTTCTTGAAGGGTATGTGAATCCTGCTATGTGTGTTTTGGGGTATGGCTTTGACTAACATTTGGCTTCTAGGCTTCCATGACATCATTCCCGAGGAGCTGATTGCCATCTTCAACGAGCAGGAGCTGGAACTTCTCATTTCCGGTCTCCCCGATATCGATGTGGATGACTGGAAGAGCAACACCGAGTACCACAATTACACTGCGGCCTCGCAGCAGATTCAGTGGTTCTGGCGCGCCATCCGCTCATTTGACAAGGAGGAGCGGGCCAAGCTTCTTCAGTTCGTCACCGGTACCTCCAAGGTGCCGCTCAACGGCTTCAAGGAGCTGGAAGGCATGAACGGAGTGAGCCGTTTCAACATTCACCGTGATTATGGCAACAAGGACCGTTTGCCCAGCTCTCACACGTGCTTCAACCGTAAGTTGTGCCTTATTCAGTCAAGACTTGGATAAAATGACTGACTTTTTTTTGTCTCTAGAACTCGATCTTCCCGAGTACGAGAGCTACGACACGCTCCGCAGCCAAATTCTCAAGGCTATCACGGCTGGTAGCGATTACTTTGGCTTTGCTTGATCATTTTGGGGCACGAATTTTGCTATGGAGAGAGAATATGAAGAGGAGAAAAATAAAGAAAAAGCGGGAAAAGCGGGAATATTTGCTTATAAGAGAAGGATGGAGAAAAGGAAATTGGTCATCTTGTTGAGAATAGGGCAAGGAGATGGTTGCGAAAAGGGAGGCAAAGCAGAGAGTAGGGGGTTTTTGCCTGTCGGTGCAAGCGTCAAAGATATCCTGTGTATTGCTTTTTATTTAGTGTGGGGTGGCGGGTGGGCTATTAGGAAGGAGGAAGGAGTTTTGTAACTGTTTTTGTTTTATTTTGTTTTGTTTTTTTTTCATGTAAAGGCGCACTCTCAGATTGCGGTGGTATAGGCTTAAGAGGGTTGGTTGGTGGAAGATGGGGAGGTGGATGCGGCTCGTGCAGGGGTCCGTGGATGCTTTTCTGTCTGGGTAGTAGGGGAAGAAGTAGTGAATAGAGAGGTTGCCTTATGGTTATGACTTTGTGATTTGGTGATGTGGGTGGATGATGCTTGAATACCCAAACTTCAGATTGTAGCATAAACGTGAGCTAGGTTTTTTACATGTGGTGCCTTGAGCAGAATGGAAAACACCAGCTCGGTTGGCAATATCTGTTGACTTTTTTTGGGTGTAATTACTGCATCCTTATGAGGATAATGCTAAGTTATCATGAAGATTCCCTGCCTTGGTGTGTTCAAGTGTATGTGTGGGGTTGCGAGAAAAGGGTTAGCATACATAGGTAAAGATATAATCGTATTATCGAGCCAAGTTGACATTATCACCCTGACCAAACCATGAAAATGCCCACCTGATAGATTATTGTGCATGCGACCCAGATACGAGCTATACCAATCGTTTACGCTGCAACCAGCAGCGGCCCGGGTTCAGCAAAGCCTCTTCCCTCGGCCTCATGCAGTGCCTCGAGTCCACTGCATAAGAAAAGCCCCCCCCCCCCCCCAACGGATATCTATGTTCGAAACACGACAGTAGTCTCGTTTTCTCGTTTTTGTTTTGTCTATTCCTTGCGTCGTCGTTGCAACGTTGCCACGCAGACCTACCTACCTACCTCAACCAACAACTCATGATGGTCGACAAGATCATGTAAGTAGCCCGTCCATTTTTTTTCTCTTCTCACTCCGGCTACCTACCGAACATTGCCCCCCCCCCCCTTCGCTTCATCATCACCCCGAACCTACTTCTTTAAAGCAGGCATACCCCATCTTGTCTCCTCGGTTCAAATTACCGAAGATAAATCAACAAATGCAAATCCAGACCGCTTCCCCCCCCCCCCCCCAAAAGAGCCGCCGCCTCACACAAAGAATAAAGCAAGACAAATATCCCCATCTTCCGTGCGGAAGCCTACTTTTGCCCTGCCTGGATCCATGTTTGAATGACGTAGTAGGTCCCTTGTTAACAACATTTTGGTTGAAGGGTAGGAGTCTCAGCTACGTGGCAGAGAGACAATCAAAACATGGTTTATCCAAAATAATAAGTAATCCCGGTATAGCTGAATACCTGGTAGAGAGAAAGAAAACTGTTCGTGTTGTAAGAAAATGCGGGCGGGTGCAGGTAGGGCGTGTTCGGTAAGGCAGGAAGGTATAGGTAGGTCTGCGGCGGTGGTGGTGGTTGTGGTTGTGGTTGTGGTGGTCGCCACCCCCTTTCAACCCCACACATACATCTACCACGCTTGTTTACCCATTGGGGGAGGGTTGTGGTTCCCAAAAATAGAATACTGTGTTTTTCAGCCAAAGTCAACAACAACAAAACGTAGAATGGTCTTGCAACAAGGAAAAAGCGCCGCCGCATGACGACGGTGTTTCGAACAACGGTGATCACGACGCCGTGGTTGTGGTGGGTGGCATAACACCATCATCACCAGTTTCGATATGGCCGAGGAAACAAGGACTGGATGGATCGACAGCTCGGCTCTTGAGTGTGCAAATGCCCCGATAAGGGTTAATCCCAGGCCACCCCCTACAAGTCTGGGGGAGGCGTAAATTCTTGGTGAGACACCAGGTGATTGAACGAAGAGGTAAGAAACAGTTGTTCGACAATGCAAAAAAAAAAGGAAGGGCTCGGGTGTTGTTGTGTGACCCTCGAGCCAGGATTGTTTGCCAATATCTCGTTGTTGTGACCCTTGGTTTACGGAGTAGGCAGGTGGGTGGTGTTCCTGGCTGGCAAGGCCGAAGAGGGAGAGATATCGGTGGGAGAAGTTTGTTATAAAAGACCTGGTTGATGTGGTCAGCTGTCTAAAAGTCGTGATTAGCTGGCTGATTGTGAAGTTGTCATCTGATAGAATAGGTAAGCTAAACTAAACTGAAACAGAAGAGAGAACGGGTGCTGTCAGGATGGCCACCATATAGAGGGATGATGCTGCCAAGCGGGCGGACTCGTGATAGGGTATGGCGAGCTCGACGAAAATGCTGTCGACGGGTGCAATGCAATACGGGAATCTGAGTCGCCCTCGGCTGCAACCAAATCTCAATTTGGACAGACTCTCTCTTGTCCCAAGGACCAAGATCGGCGATTTCTGCCCCTCTGGCGGGCGCGAGATCTGTAGAAGGCTCCCAGTTACAAGGCCAAGAAATGATCCAGAGAACATTGGACGAAGGTGCTACCACAGCATTGTATCACTAGGTCCGTGCCAGACCGGCCGAGCAATAACAAAGACTCTCCCATTTGGACGCATGGGGGGCTCCTGGCATGTCAAGAACAGGAGTGTGAAACATGGCCTTCGTCCGTTTGGGAACAGTTGGTGTAGTCAGTGCAGTGCAGTTTTGAATGCACCCTATTGGGGCCATCACTCAGCAATCCGCGGCGACGTGATGCAGTATATGCGATATATGCGAGGTGAGCTGACTATGACCCGCCAACTTGGTTCCATATGATTCCGTGATTCCCACACAACTCCGGGAGAAAGAAAAGAAAAAAAGACGGTTCGATGGTCGAGACTGTCGACCCTTTGATGCAACGTGAGTGGTTGCGAGATTCAAGGTTCGGTGCGGAGCAGAAAACGGGGACCCACCTTCTGGGAGAACAGGGATCCAAAAGTGGTCACGGCATCTGCCGGGGGTCACGACGGTCCACCAGATCGATCTCACTCTGGTGACCCTGGGTTTGGGATTTCATGGGGGAACGCTGCTCTCACAGACTGGAATCACTTGTCATATTTGCCTCCAGTCGAATTGGGAATCTCAGTCAGCAAAGCTCAGTTCGAGAGAGCTCCGTGATGTCCGGTGAGTGCTGGAGCCTACGAGGTGGGCTTGCGGCAACACACGACGTCTATCGTGTCAGATAGGGTAGTGTCCATTGGGGTGGTCTTCAGCTCGTTACCTAGCCACTCTCATCTTGATATTTTCCCACCAAGACCCATCGATAGGACGGAGTGGACGGAACTGTACCGTCAATATAGGACATGGCTGATACACAGGTGTTGCTTCTTGGTGCCCGCTCAGGCCGGTGCCCGTTTGCGCACGCCCTGCAGTAGTGCTGCACCTATAGTGCTATCTCCGGCCCCCAGCGTGGCACGGCCGACTGCCAACTGCTTCTCTTATCCTTCAAGAGATCATCGCATCTCGACCTTCTAGAGGTTCTAGAGCTTCTCTGCCCTCCGCACGCCGTCTATCCGTAGTCTCACTTCCTCGGTGTGGCAAAGTGAGACGAAAAACTGGGACCTGAGCTGAAGATCCGCCAAAGAGACGAGAGGCTGTCGACATCGAGCCTCCCCCTTTCCCTCGGGATGTGCCTCATCGTGGTTGGCTCCTCCGCCGTCAGCTTTTCTCCTGCGCGACATGTGCGAACAGGGCGGCCGGGCCCTAATCTGCATTTTTCTTGAATGTGGCGTCACGGAATGGAAGGCCATGTATTTGTCCAGTTCTTGATGAGCGGCCGAGAGTCGGTAAGCCACCGAAGTGGCAGCTCTTCATAGGTGTCCAGGGCCGCATCCGCTGGCAATTCCCTTCAGCCGATGGCTTGTGTTGTCTAGTAGAGGTGCCCCTTTTCCCCTCTCCCCGTTGCCCCTATCTTTGCTGTAGCCAAGCAGATGTCGACATCAAAAGTCACCTTCTGGAAACAAACTGGCACTCGGTGGGAAAAGATGGTAGGATAGAAAGACAGCGCCCGGACCATCCCTTACGAAATTGGGGCTGCCAAGACAGGCACACATACCCGCCATGGCGCGCCGCTTCCCCTGTAACCCCTCACCCCCTCACCCAACCCCAGCTGTGCAATGCACAGCACCAGCACTAAAACGGCATGTAGGTTCCTGCTGTAGCGGTGCCCGGGCCTGTGTCAAGCCTTTCCGGCACGGATACAACCCGTCCCATCCAATCCAATTCAATTCAATCCATCCCATCCATTCCTCTGGCTTCTGCTTCTGCTTCTGCTTCGGCTTCTGCTTCTGCTTCCGCTTCTGCGTCTGCTTCTACTTCCATCTTCCTTCCATCTCTCCTCCACCTCACCTCGGTCCTAAGTCCCGACCCTAATCAACATCACTCGAGAATCACGCAAGCCTCCAGACAGTATAGGTTTTGTTTGCATTGGTGGTCCCCCGGATCGTCTCCAGTGCCTGAGTCTCTACCAATCAGCCGACATCGACAAGACCACGGTCCCATCGCTTGAGCTCCGAGTCTTTGCGCCACCACGAACAAGACAAAAAAGACGTCTCTCTCCTCCTGCTCACCCCCCCCTCTCTCTCCCACTCTTAGCCCGACGTGAACCTGCCGTCTTTTTTTTTCTCGACAGGTAGATTGGTTTTTTGGTTGTTTTTTTTTTGCTTGGTTTTTTATACTCGGCCGCCACCCTCCCACAACGGCTGCCTTACCAAACTGTCCGTCTACGCTGTCCTACCTACCACCGCTCCGGTCCCCGCTAGCCACTGAGCTACGAGCTACGACACACGTCTGACGATCCAAATCCATTGCCGAAGAACGTTGACCTCTCCGCTTCTTCTTTTTTCTCGCGGAGCAGCCCGTCAAGTGTGTTTCGGCGGCGCGTGCTCTCCAGGAGCTGGTGTTGGAAAGCGGGTCCAAGCAAGCTATCTAGGAGCTACGGCAGTGCGGCAAGGAACAGGGAATCCTCCCCAAATTCGTCGGCAAAGCTATTATCGACAGATCGCCCAGCGCGCGATTTGCCCACTCGACAACCCATTGACATCTCCCAGGAAGCTATGAGGTAGGCCCGAAGCCCTCTCCCCGACCCAATTGCACGCCCGCCGGACGCTGTTGATGCTGCGAGCTGCACATTGCACATTTGCACGTCCAAGACGACGGAAAGACCCGCACCGGCATATCGAGCACATGCGCCGGTCCCTGTTTCGGGCGGGTCCTTTTTCTGGAGTCCTCTCCCAGGGTTTTCCATTTGTCGCGCCGAGTTCGCGATGTTGCCCGATGTCGCTTGCGCCCTCAAGTTGCTGACGCCTATTTATATGAGATATAGGGCAGATGGCCGCGGCTATTGATCGAGCGCCGAGGAATCATTTGGACGAAGGGTCTGAGGACTCGATGGGCGCGAGGACGATACCAATCATTGCGCCTACCATCCAGATGTCTGCACCCTCTCCGGGCGAGCCCATGGACATCACCACCCCTACGAACTCCTCCGCACCCCAATCTGCCACCAAGAGCCCCGATAGCGACGTGAATGCCAGCGGCGGCAACGCCAGTAACGAGTCGAACGAGCGTCTACAGCCCATCCAGGCCCAGATCAACAGCAATCACCACAACCATCAAGCTTCCTCCGAGAACAACATCACCATGCCGGCCCCCGTAGCCGCAGCCCCGGCTGTCCACCAGCCCAAGATTGTTCAGACAGCCTTCATTCACAAGCTTTACAAGTATGGTGCCTCGCCAATCCACTCGTACGGCCATGGACGGATACTAAATCATGTGATAGCATGCTGGAAGACAAGACGATCCAGCACCTCATTTCTTGGACCCAGAGTTCCGAGAGCTTCGTGATGCAGCCCTCACATGAGTTTTCCAAAGTGCTAGCGTATGTTGACTTGAACAGCCGCCAATTGCATTTTCTGACGAGTGTACAGGCAATATTTCAAGCACACCAATATCTCTTCATTTGTGCGGCAGCTCAACATGTACGGCTTCCATAAGGGTAAGCATTCGGCTGTTCTATTTTTATCCAGTGAGATAGAGTGTTGATAATGGCATAGTGAGTGACGTGTTTGCTCATGGGACTCCCGACTCGACCATGTGGGAGTTTAAACATGGGAACGGCAACTTCAAGCGGGGAGACCTGGTTGGTCTGCGGGAAATCAAGCGCCGGGCCTCGCGACATGCGCTGGTTCACAGAGAGTACAGCAACCAGAAGCCACCGCCATCTCAGCCTGGCACTCCGGCCGAGCCAATGCCTCCCATGCAAGAAGGCGGCGACCCCAGGGTGAACAGCATCGAGCACACTCTCTACGACCTCAGTGCTCGTCTTCAGCGCCAAGAAGAAAACTCGCAGTTCATGCAGATCAAGAACCAGGCCATCATGGACACGGTAAGCCGGCTGCTGCAGTTTAATCAAGAGCTGTCACGCGCCGTGATGGCCCTTTCGCCGAGCCCTGATAACCCGATACACCGGGACGGTAAGTGCTGGCTGCATCTCGGAGCTTTTTTTGGTACCAGGATAGCCTAATATTTTCCGTTTTTAGTATCATCACTGCAGATCGAGGTGCAGCGGCAAATGGAGATATTCCGCAGCCTCGAGGAACCCCACGAGCCGTTGTTCGCCAGCACCCGTCCCTACTTTGCCAACATCGAAAACGCGCCCGTCTCGCCTCGCCAGTTGCCCCAGGACGATCCCCGCAGGTCTAATCTCGCAGTCCCCCAGCCCCGAGGGCCAAATTATTACCATGACCACCGCCCCGCGGTGCCTTCTGGGTTGTCGGTGAGCACCCGGAGACCATATGGTTCGATAGGAGGAAATTCCACAGGCCAATCTTCGCCGTCTTCCAATCGGGCCCCTGCTCCGCCGCCACCGCCCGGGCCACACCACCTGTCAAATCCCGATCTGCATCCCGGTGCTCTGGGTCGAAGGCACACCTCGGCTGATATCCGTGCTCATGGTTGGCAACCCCAACCACCTCCCCCGTTTTCCGGACCACCTTCGTCCCAATGGCCATCGTCACCCAGCCGGCTCCCACCACCCCCCGAGAGCCAGCATCTCAGGGATACCTTTTCTCACTATTCTCTGCAACCCTCGTCCCAACCTCATTCCCGTCCAGCCACTCCCCCAGCGCCCCCATTTTCCAATGGAAACCCACCTGCCGCCGACACGTTTAACAACTGGTCCTGGAACTCTGCCAATCGGGAGAATAAGAACCTGTCGGTGAGGGATCACTCGGCGCCGCCGACGAGACGGGGAAGCATGGCTCATATTTTGAACCCGACTGACACGGCTGAGAGGGAGGATGAGGATATGGACCCCCGGGGTGATGACGACCGAAAAAGGAAGAGGCTGCAATGATTTTTTTCCTCCAACGTCTGGTATTATTTTCGAACAAAAATCTGCTTTACATCTTTGATTGCATACAACAAAAACATTACTTAATTTCTGTTTTTTCTTCTGAATTATTTCTCGGGTAACAAAAAAGCATTTATTACTTTGAAGATACCTATTTTTTGGGGAGGGGGAGGGGGGGGGAGTAATGGGATTGGTGGTGGTTTGGATTTTTTTCTTCATCTTCTTTCCCTGGAAAATGTTGTTGTTTTATTTCTCAGGAAAGGTGGGGAGGCGGCCAAATTTGTTTGTTTGTTTGTTTGTTTGGGTGGTGGTGGTGGTGGTTTGTTGGGGATATCTTGTTGTTGGATGTTATGTACGAGTTTTTTAACTTATAGATCCGCGATACCCTTTGGGGCTGTTGTTCTCTTTTGGGTGTTTCCTCCACCAGGTGTGTCTGATTGGATTAGAACACCTGGTGGAGGAATCGCCTGAAGAGAAGAGCAGCTGCAAGGGGTATCGTGGATCTATATTTGTGTTGTAAGCTTTGTACGATCTGGGGGGATGGGGAGATAGTTGAGAGTTGAGAGTTGTGTTCAATTGGATTTAAGGTTTGGTTGATGGTGATTTGTGTTTTTTGATGTTTGCTTTGATAATGGTGTACCGGTTGGCCGGTTGGTGTGTTTGGGAAGATAGGGGGTGGGTTGTGTTGTGGTTGTGTTGTAGGATTGGGCGTTGTGGCGTGCTTGAGTTTGATAACATATATATATCTATATGTCACTATATCAACAACCTCGTTGTATCCAAAAGTTTGGGCTTTTCCAAGAGAAGAGCAAAGACGTGGATGATGATGATGATGATGAGTTGGTGTTTGTCAAAGTACGAGTACACAAAGATGCCGAACATTACTACTGAAAGCCCCGAATTCAAGAGAAAGGGAGCACACTTGTTATGGTATCATCAAGATCAGATCTGTTGAATGGCAACATTCCTAGTCTAATGGGAACAAACATTAACAGACCAACGAGAAAATTGAACCCTTTGATCTGATAGTATTGCCAACCCAAGCAGACATAACCAGACAAAACCTTTTTCCCTGGTGTGTTGCCCCTTTCCAACCTATTGTAGAATTTGGTATCTTGTTGCACGCTAAACAAACAAAAACATTCCCCATCCATCAATCTGCTCGAAAAAGTTGTTGAAAACCCAGGCATTCACAATCAATCCGTCCCGCTCGATGACATATTTCCAACCTCCCCCCCTCCCATCACAATAGCCAAGCTCAATAATCGACCAACCTCAACCGTTTCCCAATCTCCGTCCGTCTCTTGGCCTGCTGCGTCGCCCGTTCACTCGCCTTCGTCTCCCCACCCTCGTAGCTCTCCCCCCTCGCCTTGAGCGCCTGAAGCAGCATCCCCGCGTCAAAGAAGCCATCTATTTTTTATTTTTTTCGTTAGTCATCATCATCACCCATACATCCGTATCAAAAAGGAAAACTTACAACCGCCCAACTCATCATCCTCACTCATCCCCAACAGGCTATCCTCCGTCGGACTCACGCTCCCATTCACACTGAACCCTCCCTTCCTCCCCAGATCACTGCCGCCGGTGATAAGTCGTCCCCGGAGTTTGGCCTTCGCAGTGGCAGAATCTTTGTGTGTAAGTTTCGGCTTGGCCTTCATCTCATCCACCTCCCTGGCTCTGCTCTGCTTGCTGGCAACCCCCGCCCCTCCATTTCTCTGGGCTGCGGTCAACCGCAGGATCCGGCGGATCTCCAAGAGGTAGGACTCAAGGGTATCGACGAAACGCTTGGTTTGGCGATGGCGGGAGGAGACACAAATAGAGATGGTCTCGTCTTTGATGATATAGCCTATCCCGAAGCCATCTCCCGACACGGGGCCGAAGCCAAAGTGTCGCAGGGATGGGTTGCCGCAGTTGGAGGTGGAGAGGATGGTGGTGTTGAGCTTGTCCCAACCCGAGTCAGCAAAAATGAGGGGCAGTTGATGAGATGATCCATTAGGCGAGCGGGAACGGGAGGAGTGTCTAGATGAGGCGGAATTGGTCCTGTTGCGGATGACGCTGCTGTTGGCGTCGTCACCATTGGTCGTGCCATTGGTCCCGTTGGTGTTGGTGGTAGCCGCGGGGGGGGCATGGACCGCAGACGAGGGGGTGGTGCCATTGTCGATAAGGTACTCGGCCGCTCTGCCGTGGGAAGAGCTGATATCAGACATGCCATCTACCGGAGAAGAGTACCCGTTGGTGCTATCGCCGTTGGAGCCAAAGTCATCGTCAACCATGCGCTGCCAGAGACAAAACAGGGCGTACAAATGACGATCACACCCTTGGGCTTTGGAGCAGTCGCGGGTGTTGGCTGTGTGACGTTGGCAGGCCTGCCTGAGAGCCTCAATCTTGTTCTCGGCCGGGTTGTCAGCCCAGAAGGTCTGGACAAAGTTGACGGCTTCTTCCGAAACAGTGCGAATGGCTTCAGTGCGGCCATGAAGGAAGGTCTTGGTCATGGCTGGCTCGTACGTGCACTCCACTCTGCCGTAGAGACCGTAGTAAGCGGCTTGGAAGGCCATCTGGACAAAAGCATCGGGAGAGAAGCCCATGCTGGTAATGAAGTTCTTGCCATAGGCGCCAAAATCCAGGCACTCAAACTCGTTCTGTTCGATGAGATCGGCGAGTCTGGTCTCGGCAAAGCGGACAGCGATGCGAAGTTCAGGGATCATGTCCCATTCGAGCTTGTGAGGTGTGGTGCTGACATCGCCAAAGCTCTCAGGGTCACGCTTCGAGGGGTCGGGGCTGGTGGATGACCAGAGGGCTGGTGCCTTGCCGTTGATGGTCCGAGCAAAGCGGAGGATGGTGTCGGTGTAGATATCACTGGCAAAGCGAAGAACCGTGTGACCGTCGACACCAGTGTGCTCAAAGTTGATGCCGGCACTGCCGTTCTTGCAGACGATGATCTGCAGCTTGTCGTACCACCTGTTGGTGCAGGTTCCAATCTGGACACCCTTCTCGATCTCGCTGGTGCCGCAAAGCATGTTCTGGCAGAGGGCGGCAGCATCGGCAGGCTCTGTGTAGTCCAGGCAGACCACGAAGAGAGCTGTGTCGATGATGCTGAGGCAGTCGGCATTGTTGGAACCTGGTTCTCTGGTGATGACATCCCTCAAACCAGACCAGACCTTGCGGTTCTCGGTGCTGAGGACACCCAGGGCACCCTTCGCGGCCTCTTGAATGGGGATCTGTGCCGCATCGTCCACAATGGTCTGGAGATTGATGGCGATATCCTTCTCCGTCATGATCACGTCAGAGTTGTCATCCAAGACATCGAACCAATAAAATTGGCCATGGCACATGACAATGAGATGCTTGGAGTCGGGATCCTGCTCAATCTGGCACCCATCCTCAGTGGGCACTCTGGCGGTGCCGAAGAGCCGTGAATACTGGTGCATGCACAGGGGCGTCCCCTTGACGGTGTCTGGTGGGAGCTCCTCCTTGCGGACAGCTCGAACAAACTCCAACGCCGACACAATCAGAGACGCAGCGCGCGTCACCTGATTGTTGCGGGCTGGTGTAGGGTCATCCTCGAGCAGGAAGAAGGGGTTGAGGTTGAGAACGACCGGATTATCGAAGTTCAGATATGAATCATACCCTTGACTGTTAGCCAAAAGTCTTCATTCCATGACCAGCGAGCAAACAACTTACAGAACTGCTCAATATAACTGGTCTTCCCCTCCGCGTACGCCCTCAACTTTGCGTCCAGTTCTGGTCCTTCATTGTTGAGAAACTCTTGAACGGCATTCCTGGTATCTTGGTGTTCCCTTGGGCCCTGAAGCGGCTTGAGAGAAGAGAGATATCTCTGGCAGGTCTGCTCGAGGGCTGGGATGGGCAGCTTGGGTAACTCATCCTGATGAGCGTACGTGACTCCTCCCTTGGTCTTCTCCTCACGAAAGGGACCCATGTCGTAGTTGCGAGCCTTGAGCACTGTGTTTCTTCTCGGCTTTGGAATCACTGGAAGGTCTGCGATGGTGCGAGGAGTTTCGGGTGGCGGTGACTGAGGTTTCGACTCAGCCGGCTCAAGTGGAAGGGTGAGAGTCTCACCGAGAGCTCTTGGTGTGGCGAAGTGACGGACTTGTGTAGGCATTTCTTGTCAGCTGGGGTGATCTGGATTCAAGCGTAGAGAGGCGAGACGGAGGTGCTGATGTTCAGGCCGCGCAGAGCTGTGCGGTAGAAGTAGTGACAATCTTGAAGACAGTAAGGTGGCATTCCACTGGAAATGCAGAGGTGAAATATTCTTAAGATGGTTGAGGGAAAGGAGCGAGAAAAGCGCGAGCTGGATCCTAGGGGGAATGGGGACAAACAAGACACCGGTCCTCGGCCGGGACAGTTCGGGATTATATGGCGGCGGGAAGCTCGGGGATGGGGATGAGGGAAGGTGGAGGAGTAGAGATATTGAGGCAGAGTGGACCCCCCATTTCCACGGCCCGCACTCACGGAGCTGTCCTCCTACTCATGAGTTGTAGCATGTGGGACTAGGCATCTCAATCATAGACAGAGCTCGAAGAGCATGTGGCCTGTCTAAGCGCAACAAGGCGGGGAGGTCAGGAGTGATTGGACGTAGTGGGTTAGGAAGCCTCCTCCGCAGGCCCGAACGCTCAATCTGGATGCGCCCATCTAATGATGTGCCGAGCGGCGCACCACATTCTGGTCCCCAGGTCCGGGATAAGAAAACGAGAAAAGAGAGACGAGACGCAACGTACCCAGGAATCTAACAACCAACTGCTACTTGCGGCAATTCGACCGAGCTGTTCGGGACGGCGGACTGAGGCGTGGAACGGTGGGTAGTGTATGGATAAGGATGTAGTGAGATTTTTAGACGAGGCACACAGCAAAAGATGGTCGAGGGAGGGGCCGTCCGAGGAGTTCCCGTCGTCTGAACTTATTGCCCCGTGGTTGACTGGTTAGTCTCTGTCATTGTCAAGGTCATCTGCCTCTCCGGTGGCTTATCGCTCACATAACCACAAGGCCTATGCCAGCCGTTGACGGCAGCCCAGGCGTCGATGAACCAGGCTTCCTGACCTGCCTCTCCTGCGTCACAGGTGCAGACGACAGGGCGGGGGAGGGGGGGTGTGTGTTGATGGGGGGGCACTGGGGGCACACAATGGAACTCCAGGCGGAATGGAACCGGGGTCTTGGTAAGGACGTCACTTTCTCCAAATGACGTTTAGATCCCCACCAATTGGCAGCCTCTAAAATGGAAGGCTTCCGTCTGGACACGGGTGTTTTTTGATGACTGGACAAAGACCAAAACGAAGACGAGACGGTGCTGCTGTCACAGTGCTCTCGGTGTAGACTACACGGGGCGATCGACCGGGAACGGCTTCGTCGAGGGCCTTGGTAAAGGTTGGTTGGTCTTCGGACAAGAGGATGTCGTGCGGTTGGGCAAGGGATCGAAGCACAGTTTCTGGGCTGCATCCAAGCACTCCACGTTCCACGGTGGGGTTTTCCTGGGGATTCGGTGCCAAGCCACTTGCAACGCTCTCCAGGTTTCCCCACACGGAGGAAGTCACTGTTATGGCGACGTGGGACTGTCAGTCAGAGATGGACAGTCTTCACTCGTTGGTGATGGCCTATTCTCTGGCAAAGATTAGACAACCAGGAAGCTGGGACAACTGCAGGAAAGATAGATTACCTGTACGGACAGAGTAGGTGCACATAAGGTGAGGGGTACCAAGAGTCTGGACCAAGCTGAAGCGATGTCCAAAGCGGCTGGCAAGATAGGAAGAGGAATATAGTTCCAGCGAGATTTCCAGTGTCGGCTGCGCTCTGTGAGAGGGCGGGTGCCCAAGAGAATCAATCGTAAGCATGTGAACAAGACAGACGGGAGAAAGCCAAGAGTCAGCAGCGGCAGATGGGCCAAGAAACCCCATGTAGGCTAACCATCTCCCGGCCGAACGGATATGTGGGGCTGACCCAATGTCTCTGAGCCTCTTCAGACTTCAATGGTCAAAAAGGTCTCTTCTGTTGTGTGTCCGTATGCAACTTGTGTTCATCTTCAAAGTGCAATATATCCATGTTACAACGTCTGTTCCAGAAGCATCTTCCAGCTGGTTTCAGCACACTGGCTCCTCCCGCTGGGCATTCCACGTGCAGATAGGATTCTCAGTTCTTGTTCCCCGCGGTAAGAGTTCGGATCAATGGACAGCCTCCAGGATCGAGCTGGCACGCCATGCACTTCATCCACTCTCTTTCAAGACATCCAATCAGAAATTCTCCAAAAAAGAAAATCCATGGATGGTGACGCTTCCCCAGATATTCCTAACATTTGGCACATGGCTGCCGCCGGGTGTGCCAGATGCATCGCCAACTGCCAAGCACCCCGCAACCGGTCTGTGCTGGTAGATACCCGAAGCCTTTCAAGATTGCCATTTCCTGCGGAAATTGGATTCTCCGACTGCGGAGCTGGTGTACAGCGATTCAGGTTGTTGTTGACATTACGAGAAGACTTCGGGCAGAGCCTCACAGGGGTAGGCTTGGCCATCTGGTGGCGTTCTGTAATGCAGAACATCCCTGGGTGCAGAAGCTCAGCGGGCCCCTGTCGACGACGACCTCCCTAAACTTCCCAGATTCGAGGCCGGCTTCGGCGTTCCCGCTGGTTGTCTTTTCTGACAGGAAGCTGGACGAAATCATCAGATGGTTCAACCAATCTCTTACGTATTCGAGGGGCCATTGCCGGCATAAGCCGCACACTCTGTACGGTGGGTCCATTCATAAAAGCTTGTGAGGCTATTTGGACGTCCAACCATCAAATACCCTGACTTAGGTCGCTCTGAATAGATATCAAAAGGGCATATGCAGACGATGAGGTTTATCTGAGATTTATCTGAGATTTATCTCCCACCGTTGGCTTGTTAAGTAAACAAACGGTCTGATGTTGGCAATCTGATAAGATTAAATATTACCGATTAAGCTTTGTCAACGGTCTGGGCATGTCCCCGGTGTTAGGGAAAAAACAGCCACCACTGTAAAGAGCGCGGCTTACACGATGGTTGCCTAACTGTGAGCTTTGCCAAACACCGTTAGCCACCTGCCATCTCAATCTCATCGAACCATTAAGCTTCGTGGCGTTTGTTTCCGATTTTCGCAAACTGCAAACTACATCTCATTTTGGGATATTGATCATTTTTTCTAGCCCTTCTTTAAACAGCAAATATGTCTCTATTGTGGTATAACCGGGGCGAGGAAAAGACCCGGCTCCGGCTCGAGTTTCAAGTTGTCCACGATGGCCTGGATGAGGGGATTTCCAAACAACAACCAACCCAGACTTTCACCTGCTTTGGTGATCTTCCGCCAGAAATCCGACTATCTATCTGGGAAGTCTTGATCCAACCGAGGATCGTTCTGGCAGCATGTGTGGACAACCGGTGCAAGACCCAGAAACACGCCCAAATGGCCAAGCGTTCAACGACACGCTCCATCCCGGTCTTGCTTCATGTAAACCGCGAATCTCGCGCTCTTGCTCTCCGCCACTACGAGCTCACCTTTGCCTGGAAGATTCCGCCGAGATTGGCCGCCCCAGAAACGAGTGTGTTGCCCGCACAGGGTGACGCTCGTGTTTGGTTCAACTTCAACCTGGATGCTTTGCTCCTACTTGGCGAGCTCGAACCTTACGATGAGTTTGGCTTCAGCTCGCCCATGTCTCACTTCTTTCGCAAAGAGGACACCGCCCGCATAAAGCACATTGCCTGTGCCTTTGAGGAGCTACATCTCAGCCTCTACGAGTCCGATTCCATCTTTGGCACTTTGTTTCACATCATCGACCGTTGCCCTGCCGCTCAACGTCTCCTCATCACCACCACGACTGAAGACACAGAGACGCGCCACTTGAGACTGCCCACTCTTGACAACGTTGTCCAGAAGCTCTGGTGTGCTTTCCTAAACGGCACCACCTGCGTCAACGAGTCTCTGGCCAACATGCAAATCCTCATGATCGCCGAGGATGGTCTCGCTTCGTTCATCAACGAGAACAGGTAGCAGAAGCCTGGTGGTTGGATACGGGCTTCACGAGGAAGGGTTGGCATAGGGAATGCATAATCTCGCTTGCTAATGCTATGAATCCTTCAAACAGCGTTCCACCTGAAACCAGTGCTTTGCCTCCCAGGTAATGCATGTGAAGTCGCCGCCTTTCTCTCGTGTTTCATTTCTTCACCAGCCGCAATACCGAACAGCCATCGTTATACTTGTTACAAACCCGCTTCCCAAGAGAAACCCATGGTCCCCACTCGTGTTCTCACGCCCTTTCAGCCAGCCCCGAAGTGCCGAGGTAGCAGATAGAGGCTCTTTAAATCCCTCGCGTCATGTTCGTTTCCATATTTGCCGAGGTGGCGCCACACGGGCCGACCCGCGGTCGATCAAGGGGATCTGTCGTTTCGATCGACCCATATCCGCAAGGCCGTTTCCTTATCGTCGTTATCCCAAGCTTGGTTGCCCTCGGATTTAGTAAGGAGGCTCTGGAGGATTGGGAGTAGGAGGTGTAGGAGCGGGAGGAGGTTGAGGCTTGCCCTGGCAAACGAAGGAGGATGCAGGAAGTAAATGCGCCATCTGTGGAAGAGGTTGACATTAGCCCTGTGGCACCCCGCTCTGCATTTCATGCAACATACCTTGGGAAGCTCCGGATTGGCTATCGCTGGATACGGCGTATTGATGAAGGTTGGTTCCGGTCCCTCCGTGCTATGTTTTGACGGTGCTAGTGTTCTAATAGGAACCTTAGGGACTGGTTGTTTAGCTTCGCTTCGGATCTCGGCGTCTGAAGAGGTTGAAGAGGATGAAGAATGCTGAGCAGGTCGACTGGAAGACACCTGGTGATCAGCTCCTCTTTAAGCACTGCGAGGACCCGATGTCCCCCACACACTTGACTTTCTCAAAAGAGGCCTGAGCGAAGACTCCTCCCTTGAGGGGAGGGCGAGAGATACAGTTCCATCTTGGCCATGGGCCCCCGATAGTGAGACCAGCCCACTGCTCCTATCGAAAGGCCTCCAGCACTGCATGTGGCATCCCACTCGGACGCGGGTTGATGGACAGGGTTGCGTGGTGACTCGTCTGCCAGGCTCTCTCAGGAGCCCGGCTGATTCGACTGCTCGATGATGGGGGGCAGTACATGGTGCCCGGCAGCAGCGCACGGATAATAAACCCACAATCTGATGATTGCGGAACACCCTCATCCTTGGACTGAACCGGAATCTTGATCATCCCAAGCAGGGGTCGAAATCTATGCAAAGCTGTCCAGGTGACAGGTCGCGGGAACGTGGTGGTCTGGCATCCCAGAGATTAAAGGGCGTGTTAAGGCCGCACGTTTAAGCCGCAGCCCACTCCGGTGACGCTATGGATCTCTATCAAGCCCACGCCATCGAGACGTTCCCCGCTATACATGCTTCGCCTGTCTCCTAGCGTTTGTCCTCGACTACGGACTATGTCCTGCAGGGCGGCCGCTCCAGCCGTTTGGCGGTTTTGGAAACAACAGGGCAGCATGGCTGTTTACGAGAAACGGACCGACGGCATGTTTCCAAGCGGAAGAGCATGTCGTTCTGGTGGCTCTAGAGTGGATTCGAAAGCTTGCCCGCAGCGTATGCGGCCATAGGTCCCATTTTCCAAGTGACATTCTGGTTAAACAGCCAGGACACGAGGACACGATAATATCCACGATAATGCTCAGCGAACCGACCCACAGTTGACACAAGTCCGGGTCGACCAAACAGGCAAGCAGTGTAAAAAATAAATGGTAAAAAGGTGGGATATCTGGCAACCCAACCCGGCATCTCAAGTCCTTTGACAGGTGGGACACTGTGACGGGCGACCCGCTCTATGGGGGAGGGGGAGGGGGGAGCCCCTGAGACACCGCGCAGTACCGAGTCCGATGCCACGCAGTCTGTTCTTTTCTCTGCGCCATCGATCATTGACCGTACCCGCCGACGCACAGCGGGATGGGCTGCTCTCTGCAGGAATGACTTGCTTCTTACAGACGGTGGAGCATGACGGTGGCTTGCGAGGTTCTGTCTCTCTCCCGTGTCCTGAAGCTCCTCGGTACCATTCAGGACGGGTTGAGCCCCCTGTCCCCCACATGGATGGATGTTATGTTTCATACAGAGTCCGTGAGAGCCACGTGCGGCCATTTCTTTTTTCTTTTTTTTTTCTACGAGAATCTGATATCAGCCTCGTCAACCTCGGGCTTGTCGGTGTTGACATCGTCTGGAATTTTCTCAGATCATCAAGACCTGCGGGGGGGGTGGTTGGAGGTTGATGGCTGACCCCCAAATTGTTATCACTTTTCTCTAGTGACAAGTCAGATATCACACTCCAAACCTCACCAACGTCCCTCTCGTGCCCTGGCATATTGCACCTCCGAACTCGTCTCTCTGTCACCTGTCTCTGCGGATCCGGAGCGCGTTGGAGGAAAGGTCAAGCATTCGACATGTCTGTTACAGTCTGCCCTAGCGAAATATTAGGGGGATCAACCCCGCCAAAACGTTGACACTAACACCGTTCAGCCGGCCCCGCTTTTTACCCTTCTCCAGTCCTTTCTCGGGGGGAAAGTTCTCTTCTAGAATCTTTCCCGTTCGAATCATTCACCTATTTTAAGAGGCGGCCTGTATCCAACAACAACAACAACAACAACAACAACAACATCTTGGGCGGGTGGTAGATATCTTATTCAGTTCTTATTTACCAACCCTCCCCCACGCCGTAGATAGTTGGACAAAGAAGCCTCATTGTTTCCCCTGGCGCCATGACGTTATATTCGCTACCCCGATTCTATACATATCAATATACCACTTATAATGGGGGAAGGCCAACCCCAACCCCCATGGTATGGAGAGGAGAGGAGGGAGTTTGGAAACGCGATCGGTCTTGGTACACAGGGCATTGCTGAAAGGTTTAAGCGCATCTATGGCGTGCATGAAATGACTGACAGGGATTTTCATGGTAACCACAAAACAGGCACAAGCAAGAAGGGGGGAGGGGGTTGGAACACACACACAAGTGCCACATTGGGAAACCCGGCCGTTCCTCATAGGTTGAAACTCGCATCCGCGTCCTCTCATTGCGGATGGGGTGGGTTTGTAAGATGGCAAGTTTTTTTCTTCTTCATTGTTCTTCTTTGTCGGAGTTTGATGTTGTTCTTCTTCTTCCCCGCGGTATTCGTTACCGTACCTTTGGTGGTGGATAAGGGTGAATTGAATGCCGGGAAGCCGGAGGAAACCCCGCCTTTCTTTTTGGAGGTCATGAAGTGGAAATAGTGCAAGGATATGAAGAAAAAACAACGCAACCCCGCCCTTATGTATGCTGAGGCTCTTGGTAGGCTGGTTTTGGTTGGTGTTGGGCATATCGCGATCGGATTTTTCTTGGCCAGAGCAGGTGTATGTTCAGTGTTATGGGGTTTATGCGGGAGATTGACGACAGAGGGAGGAGGGGTTCATATTGGATCAATTGATAGGTGTATGATAGAGGGGCAATTCCAATGATGAGGTAAGAAGAGATGGTGATACCTGACATATGATGATGGTAGGTGATGGTGGTGGTGGTGGAGGATGAGAAATCGCGCGCGCCGCGTGTAACAAGGGCGGCTCTGTCATATGCTTTTTTTTTCTTGTTGCGTCTCTCGCTTGATGGGTTGTTGCCTTGGTAAAGTATGCTTGAGGTGGACACCTGGCTACCATCATCCCGGCCATGGGGGATGGGATGGGGAGAGAGGAGAGGGGGGTGTTGCCTCCTCTAAGCCGAGCAACGACCGACTGTGTTGGTTGGATACGGTAGTGGGATGTGGTGAGGAGACAAAGAGTGGGTTTGACTGCCGGTTGACCGTTGGCGTTGTACTAAAAGGGGAGAGTACTATCTCGGTTTGCTGTTGCGTTTTCTTTTTCTCTTTTCCTCTCTTTGTTTTTCAAGATAGTTTCTTGAACTTTTTGTTTACCCAAGACATCCATCTGTTGGAGCATCAACACCACACCACCACCCATCACCAACCTTCCCGCCCTCACCACAGCCAAAATGTCCCACGTGACCCCCCACTGGCCCCAACCCTCCCACCCCACCATCCAACAAGTCATCTACGCCACCGACGACACCTCCTTCACAACCAAATCCCTCTCCCTCATCACCCTCCCCCCCTTCGGCCTCTTCGCCAAGCTAGACTTCCCCCCCTGCACCCCCGCCCCCTCCCCAACCTATGCTACTGTCCAGTGCGGGATCAACTCCCACCTCAACCTCAACTCTGACCTCCTCTACATCAACCACTCGTGCGACCCCTCCCTCATCTTCGACACCACCAACCTCGTCGTCATGGCCGGACCAAAAGGGCTCAAAGTCGGGGAGGAACTCACCTTCTTCTACCCCTCGACTGAATACGCCATGGCCCAGCCGTTCGACTGCTTCTGTGGAAGCAGCAGCTGTAAAGGACGGATCAGCGGCGCGAGGGATATGAAGCCTGAGCAGCTGGAGGGTATGTTTCTCAACGCGCATATTAGGGAGCTGCTGGGGATGAACGGGACAAAGGGGGGACAAGATGATGAGACCGCAAAGGCGCTGAGGGAGGTTGTCAGGGCTGCCGAGCGGGCTTTGGACGGGTACTTGGCTGCTAAGGCTGGTGCTGCCGGCAAGGGGGAGGAAAAGAAAATCAATGGGGTGAAGAAGGTTTTGAACGGGGGTTATGCCAACGGAAACGGGATCGAGATTGAGGCTGAGGGGCTGAGGGCCAGGGGAACGACGTCACGGGAGCTGAGCGGGGAGATGGGGGGTGATACGAGGGCTTAGGTTGGGGGGATGGGAAGAAAATGAGGGACGGGGGGACAGGCTGGTTTTAACACGGCTTGTTGTTTCTTTTGTTTTTCTTTTGGATGAGTGAAAGAGAGGATGTCCAACATATCCTTGTTTTGTAGTCGCATTTTG